AAACGCCTTACTAAAGTCTAGGTATACCACATCCAGCGCTTCTCCCTTATCCACAAGACTCGTTATCCTATCAATGAAAGCTATCAGATTGGTTTGACGTGATTTGTTCTGTACAAATCCATTCTGGCTGTTCCCTATCACCTTGCCACCTTCCAAGTGTTTACAGATGATTTCCTTAATTACTTGCTCCATTATCTTCCCTGGCACAGAAATTAAACTAACTGGTCTGTAGTTTCCTGACTTGTTCTTATTTCCCTTTTTATAAATGGGCACTAGATTTGCCCTTTTCCAGTCCTCTGGAATCAGTGATAGATGTCTTCACAGATGTAGCTATGTCGAGCCTAGTAATTTCCAAGGCAGCCCTGAAGGTTGCAGTCTTGCCTGCAGCACTTACCCACCCTGTGCCAAGTATCCACAACAGGAACCCTATGAGTTGCAGATGGGCCATATGGCAAGTGAAGTATGGGGGGAAAGCCTCAGATAGACTCTGGCCTTAAGACTGGCTCTAAGGTACCTCATCTGGCCGTACTGACGATTGGTGGTGTAGAATCAGCAAAGGGATTCTTACTGTCCTTGGCCCGTGGGGCATTTGCATCTGGCATAACCTAGAGCAGTGGTTCCCAGCCTGTGGTCCGCGGACCCCTGGTGGTTCATGATGGTATTGCAGGGGGCCCGTGGAAAGTTTAAAAATAAGGATCAGGCCTGTCATGGCTCCTTCCCCACTCTGGCACAATAAATGCAGAAGTGGGTTCCAGCAAGTACCCCAAAACCTTATATACCAGGCTTTGGTATAAAACTTACCCCCAAAATCTTAAAAAACCTACATTTTGGGAATAAAACTGCCACTGCCACCACCCAAATAAATAAAGAAACCAGGAGAGAGACCATTTGGGGAAATCTCACCCCTAAAATAAAAACCCCAGGACACACGTAACCAGTACCAGGTTAATAAAAATAAAAGAGAAAACTTTTATTATCACCATGTTGCAAGCATAATGGCTAGATGGAAAAGTAACCAATAATATACTCATGGAGAAACTCCATGGGCCTAGAACTTAGTTACAAAGAAAAGCCAAAACATCTTTTAAAAAGTGCACACACCGCAGATCCTATGCCCAAACCATAAAACAATAAAACCTAATGGATTTATCTAAACTTTACCTTACTTACAGAAGGTGAAGAAAGAGTCTTTTCTTGGGCTATGTCTAGACTGCAAGCCTCTTTCGAAAGAGAGCGTCTAGATTGCATGTGGAATTTCGAAAAAGCAAGCCGCTTTTTCGAAAGAAAGCACCCAGTGAGTCTGGATGCTCTCTTTCTAAAAAGCCTGTTTGCTTTCAAGAACGCCTTCTTTCGAAAGAGCACTTTCAAAAGAAGGCGTTCTTCCTCGTGGAATTAGGTTTACCACCGTCGAAAGAAAAGCCGCATTCTTTCGATTTAATTTCGAAAGAACACGGCTGCAGTCTAGACGCAGGTGAAGTTTTTTCGAAAAAAGGCTACTTTTTTCGAAAAAACCCCTGAGTCTGGACACAGCCTTGGAGAGGGAGACATGTCTGTAGCTGCAGAGGAACTCTCCAGAGACAAAGGAGGGAAAAGCCAAACATTCCTTTGTCCTAGTTTGAAATTCCTACCTACATTTCTATTGGCTGAATCTATCTGTCTTAGACAAGGTTGACTCCTTAGTTCCCAGGCTGCTGGCTAACCCTCATAATCATGACAAGGTCCAATGTGGTGGGCCTGATCCTTAATTTTCTCTTCCTCTTCTCTTCTTTTTTTTCTTCTCTCCCAGGGAGGGGGGGGGTCTGTGAAATGTTAGTAGATTGAAAAGGGGTCCTAGAGCAATCCAACAGGATCAGGTGAGTGCAGAAATGAACATGATGCCATCTTTACACATAGTCCCGTGATCTGCACTCTGTACCCATCACTGGCATCCCTGGACCTGCTCCATTCTTTCTTAGGATTCTCACTCTCTTTCCTTGGCTCCCTCTTCCACCTTTGGATTGGTGCTTTTTGAAATTGTTTTAATCTTTACATCTTTCATATTTCCAGTTCTGACTTCGCAATAATTTTGATTTTATAATTGGTTCATTTTTCTGTCGGGGAGGCTTTGCGTCTTGCTGAATCAGGGACTAATTAAAGGCTGTAAGGGCAATATATAGACACAGTCCTGGCACAGGACATTGGTTGTGGGGTGAATTTTACTCCTATCTACTACCACAGAGGCTAGGAACTAAAAAAAAAAACCAACCCTTCAAAGCTTGAGAAGTTTTACCTGTCTACACTTGGGAGCTGAGACTCAGGAGTGAGAATCCTGATAATGCTGAGAGAAACAGATTTACAAGGTAAGTAATATTTGCTCATGCAGTTGAATGGCGAATGGAATTATAAAAGAAGATTGGAATTTGGCCAGTCCGTGGAACTGACACTCATGGAGGAAAATTCTTGATGACATAGGCTTCTGAAATCACAATACTAAAACATTTTCCTGGGCTGGGGAAAAGACTGGGGAATTTTTATAAGCTTCTCTGAGTACATCTATACTGCAAGACAAAGTTGAGTTAAGATACGCAGCTTCAGCTATCTTAATTGTGTAGCTGAAGTCAAAATAGCTTACCTGGACTTTTGGCACTCTCTACATAGCAGGAAGTCAAAGGAAAACGCTTTTCCTTCAACTTTTCTTACTCCTCGTGAAATGAGGGTTACAGAAGTTGGAGTAAAAAGCCTGTTGTTTGAAAATTACAGGGTTGCTGTGTAAACTTTCACTCTGTTATTTCAAAATAAGCGTGCAGTGTAGACATAGCCTCCAAGATCACCAATACTTTTTCAGAACATACATATATAGTCCAGGGATCGGCATTAATGGAGCTGGATGTGGTGCCTCCATCACTTTAAAAAAAAAAAAGCCAACCTTGCCAAGTACAGAAATATGGGAAATATACAATACATGTCATGTCAAGCATGAAATATTCACAGTCCAGTGACTGCTGGGACTGAAGGGTATTTCTTCATCTCCCCTCCCCCACCATTAACTTTAGTGAAGTTTAAGGCCTCTGAAATAGTCTAGCCTACCTGAGCATCTCTTCGATTATTTTGCTTGGAAGGCCGTAGCATCTCCTGCTTTCATCCAGCTATGTCCTCAAAACAGATGCAGAGGAATGAGGATAGGGTCCCACTAGAAAAAATATCGTAAGGAAAATTCCATTGGCACCTATTGCATTACAGTTCCTTTGCATTTTCCACTTGCTGTTTGGTATTAGTAGACATTAGATGAACTCTCTGATAAATCATCAGCTTTTTGCAATCCCAAATATATTTGCATCTTCTGCTGTGAGACCTATTGTTAGAACCCATATTTTCCTGTCATCCAGAGCCTTCAAGGAAGGTCTAATATTTTTAACTATAACTAGTTAGTGTCTGTTACAATAATACAATTAGAGACTAGGATTGAGATGGTAAGAAAAATTGGAAAGAGATGTAGAAAAGAATGGTCCTAGAAACAGAAGACCAGTGCATCAAAGATCATTCCTTTCTACACAGAGATTTATGTAAGAGGAATTAATCTCTCTGGACTGGGTCTAGGTTCCATATCAGAAGGTGATGAGCTTTTTCATTTCATTTTTTCTTTGTTGGACTCTCCAAGGCATTTTGATTCCCCCTTCAGATATTAAATGGTTTTTAGAATAACTAACACAGCAGTAGCTAAATAAAATCACAGTTCTGACGCACTGATTAGTGTATATGCTTCTTCTTGTGATCAACAAAGTGATACAGTGTGTCTGAAAGAAATAAGAGTGTATTTTCTTTAATAATGAGAGTTCATATCTTTCCAGACATTTCAAATGTCACTCAGGCTAGAAGGAAAAAGCTATTGTTTCTCATGTCTGAATGTACTACCTTAGTTTTCTCAGCCTGAGTTCTTTTCCATGCAAAAGTGAAGGCGTCTAGAGATCATAACCAGTATGTATTGTATGACTGTGAAGACAGGAAACTTTTCTTGTCTTTTGGCTAAGGAAAGTCAGATCTTTAGAGAGTAATTCTGAAATAGGATGATCTGATTCCGTAGAATCACATTTTGAAGAATAGCTAGTGATTAAATCTTTTGCCTAATAAGTTATGCCACTAAAGTTAATGTTTTTGTTGCCTTATGTTTAGATATGATCAGCTTAGTCATCCTCCACCTTGCCATCATAGTGCAGTTTTGTGGTGTTAGTGAGGTTTCTGCCACTTACGGTTCTACTCTTCTCTTTATTCTTACATTTTAAAAAAATCAACTTTCTTTAGATCCCAGTCCCCTGATTCATCCCAGTTCTGGAGTCTGGCCCATCCTTGCAGCCAAAGAGTGCACAGCTTCTCTTGTGCTTGCTGCCTTCAGGTCTGTGTTGTGGTCAGGTGCTGCATCAAATGGCAAGGAGCCAAATCCACATTCTCCATTGAGGAATGGAGAAATGCCATTGCCTCTAGCCCCAAGAAAAACCTGTCATGTATTGTTACCCAAGTTCAATCTGTTTCCATCCTTCAGCTGTGCCAGCCGCGCCCAGCAGCTGGAGCCTAGACAGCGGAACAAGAGAGGCCCTGCCATTCCTGTCTGCCCACGTTGGGAGCATCTTGGCCCCACCAGTACCTCCCCGAAGCCTACCCCATGGTAAGGAAATACCCAGTAGGTCCAGTTGTTAAGTTCTGTGCTTATGCACAGATAAACATAGGCCACATGAAAGCCAACAATGACTTACATGAGCCTTCTGTAAGGAGTGCCGGGAGAGAAGGCTGTCTCGGGCTGCTTGGTAGATTATTAGATAACACTTAACATTTCATCGGCTGCAGCAATAAGGTCATACTGTGTTTTGGGACTAGAATTAGATTTATGAGTAGTGTAAGCTGGCCTCGCTTCTTGTCAGTGACTCTCCTCTGCAGTAGCTTAAGGCTATGAAGATATGAATTGTGTCTCCCAGACATTCAGCATTTAAGAGCCTGTTGTCTTGCCATGAAATCCTTGATAACAACGGTGGGTAACATTCTGTTGTTGCTACTGATCTCATCAGTTGAACATTGTGATGATGTGTCCGATGCACTTCAGGTTACCCATTCCAGTGTTTGCTTTCCAGGATATGGATTGGAGGTGGGGCTGTCAGCAGTTGGACCTGGTTACCTGATATTGCGGAGGGCTAGAACAGAGAATTCTTCCTGCCTTGAGGTTGTACAGATCTGTGAGCCCCTGCTACAATTCTTTATGAATATTGAATTCCTTGTTTCATTTCAGGTCACTACTCACTGCACTTTGATGCCTTCCACCACCAGCTCAGCGATGCCCCTCCAGCACTGCCTGCACGGACATTACGCAAGGTAAAATGATCTCTCAAGGTTGCAGGGCACAGCACCCAGCTAATCGGGCCATAAGTTGTTATGATCAATCTCCTACAGCTTCCCATTCCTCCATCGATCCTGCCTTATTCCCACATTGCCTGAGCAGCAGAAAGTATATCATGTTTCTAAGGAACAGAAGCTCAGACTGAAGGCTGACGTGGGGATTGTCTACTTGGGGTGGACAATAATTTTTGCAGGGGGGCCACTCCAAGAATGTTGGTAAGTAGTCAGGGGCTGCACTTCACTATTAATGGAAGGGGTGTGGGGTCTTGGATAGAATTTGGGTGCAGGAGGGAGCTCCAGGCATGGACTAGGGTGCAGGAAGGGGTGCAAGGTCTGGGAGGGAGTTGGAGTGCAGGAGGGGTACTGGCATGGAGCAGGGGGTTGGGCTGCAGAAGGGAGTGCTAGGTGTAGGCTCGACCCTTACCATAGGTGACTCAAGCAGGCTCCGCCCCCTTCTCACCCTTGCTCCGCCCCAGCCTTTGTTCCATCCCTCTCCACCTCTTCCCCCAGGTTATGTTTAAAAAGAGGGCAATCTAAAGAGAGTTGACAACTAAGCAGGGGCAAGACATAAGGGTGCATGTGCATCCCTCCCAAGGCAGGAGAAACTAGCCAGCATCAGCAGGGGAGCTAATGAGCCAGAGAGCTAGTGCCAGCAGCAGGAGCCCACGCCACGCACTCCCCCCCCTTCTCCCGCACGCAGAAGCAGTGGTGAAAGCACACCAAGGCAACTGCCCCCACACTCCCCAGAAGGAAGCTGTCAAGGCTGTTCCCCGCTGTGGCACAGCAAATGCAGAAGTGGAAGCCCGCAAAGGACCCCAAAACCTTATCTCTCCAGGCTTTGGTACAAAAATTTCCCCCAAAATCCTAATACCTGGATTTTAGGGAATATCTGCTGCCACCACCCAAGTATTCAGGGATATATTGCTTCTCCTTCAAGTGGTCCCTGTGGGTGCTCCACTCTGGGTGCTGGTGCGTCCTCGCGCCGGCGACTGGAGACTTTTCTAGCAGTTTCTGCCACACCGCACAGGCGCCGTGGTGCCCTCTAGTGTCTTTGGAATTGTTGAGTGCGTGCACGGCATGGCTCCTCAGTTCCTTCTCTACCGTCCTTGGCAGCAGACAGAGCCGACTGTTCTCCTTACTTCCGTTAAAAAATAGTTAAATACCCCGTTTTAATCCCTAGTTACCTCATTAGCCAAGTTTTTTAGCCCTATTTTCCTTCCCAATCTAGTTTAAAAAAAAAATTCTCGTTGCGGCTTGCCGCTTTTCCCCAACCCCTCATGCCCAGTTCTCCGGGCTTCAAACATTGAGAGTCATGTCGGGATGCCATGCCCGCTTCCGACGGGCACTCCAAGTGTATTAAGTGCCTTGGGGAGGCTCACCAGACTCAAAAGTGCCTGCACTGCTCCAAATTGACAGCGTGGGTGCACCGAGACTGAGCCAATAGACTAAAGACTATCTTATACGAGAAGTCCCTACGTCCTTCCTCAGAGGACTCTCCTATGACGTCTAGACCACCTCAGCTGAGTAAGGGTATGGAGAAAAGCCAACCGTCAACCCACTCTGGTTCCACGACCTCCAAAACCGGTCTCTCTCCAACTCCATCCCTATCCTCAGCACCATCAGTGGTACGGGACAGCACCAAAGATAGGCCGGGAACCTCCGATGCAGCGCAGCTTAAGATGTCGGCACTGCATAAAAGAGCTCATTCAGAGCCAACACAAAAGTCAGCGGCACCGACCGCTACCGCACCTAAGCCGTCTTCAGCACCGACTGCTGTATTGAAAGAGCGCACAGCAAGCACCATCAGTGGTACGGGACAGCACCAAAGATAGGCCGGGAACCTCCGATGCAGCGCAGCTTAAGATGTCGGCACTGCATAAAAGAGCTCATTCAGAGCCAACACAAAAGTCAGCGGCACCGACCACTACCGCACCTAAGCCGTCTTCAGCACCGACTGCTGTATTGAAAGAGCGCACAGCATCGAGCCATGCCAAAACAGCACCGAGCCCGGCGCCGAAGAAGGCCCGTGCCGACAAACCACCTCTGACTGCTCTGGTGCCGGAACAAGCCTCAGCACGGTCAACACCCCCACTGTCCGCACCGCCACCACCCAAGCCGCATCACCTCACACCGTCTCAGAGGCGCGAGCAGTACCGACCCCAGTGCAGAGCCACACCTCCTCGGCACCGCTGTCCCCGGGTTCCTCTATCCACTTTGTGAGGTCTCGCTGCTCCTCAGTTGCTTCTCGCTCGGTCAGTGACATCGGCACCGAATCGAGGAGCAGGTTTTCATCACAACACTCTAGCCTGGCACTTAGACCTCCATCCTGGTAGCTGGCTCCAGTTCAATATGCATACCCTCCCCCTCCGCATCCATGGTATGCGCAATAATATGGCTACCCCCCTCCGCCATATACCACTCAATGGCAACCCTGGAGCCACATCCGAAGAAGTCACCAATGGCCCTCTTTCACTATTTCCAGGCCACCTCCTCCCTCGCCTCTTGCTACTGCATCTGCCACTGAACCGAATTCTCCAGCCCCCTTGGAGGCACATGACTCTCTCTCTCTGAAGGGGAGACCAGATCTCCTCTACACAATTCCTCCTCCTCCCTAGATGAAGCGGTCACTACCGAATCCCCATCGTCGGGAGATGACACAAAAAAATTTCAAGACTTGTTTAAGAGTCGTGATAGCTCAGGAAAGAGACCTCCAGGAGGTGCAGGTCAAGCAATATCATCTTCTTCGTACTCTACAGCCACCAGCCGCCTCCAGAATTGCTATACCTATGGTCGAGGCTATTATAGACCCAGCCGACAATATCTGGCAAACTCCAGCCTACATCACTCCAACAAATAAGAGGGCAGACTGTAAATATTTTATTGCTCCAAAGAATATGGACTTCCTTTTTACCCACCCACCTCCTAATTCCCTAGTGGTAGACTCGGTGCGTCACAAAAGTAAACAGCCTAACCTTAGAACGACCCCACAGGACAAGGACTACAAGAAAGTGGACATCATGGGCCGAAAAGCTTACTCTTCAGCCACATTATTCCTTAGGGCTGCAAACTATACTGTCATGCTCGTGGACTATGACCACGCTAATTGCTCCAAGACCTCCTTCCAGCACCTTCCGGAGCTCAAAAGGTCAACCTTGCTCAATATTATGCAGGAAGGCCACACCATCTCCTGTACAGCCTTACAGTCCACCATGGACGTAGCAGACGCCGCAGCCCATGTTACGGCCACGGTGATTGTGCTTCGCAGGATTTCCTGGTTACAGGCTTCTGGGGTACCTAAGGATCTACAGCAGAAGGTTGAGGACTTGCCTTTTGACCAGACCAACCTTTTCGCAGCCAAAATCGACGAGGTGTTGCATTCTATGAAGGACTCCCGTACGACTCTCAGAACCCTCGGAATGTACACTCCTACATTCAAGGGAACTAGGTACCAGCCTTACCAACGTCCAAGAGAGTTGTTTAGACAACAATCCAAATACGATTTCCACCAGAAACAAAGAACTCAGTGCCATAGACCACAGCGGCAACAACAACAGCACGTCACACCACATCCACCATCAAGCAAACAGCAGGTTTGAAGGTCAAGTCGAGAGCCAGGAAGCCAATCCTCTGCCACTGACAACCAATACCTTTTATTTCCACCACCCCCTCCGGGCCTTTTTCCACCAATGGTCCCTCATCACTTCGGACAAATGGGTCTTGGATCTGATTCAATTTGGTTACACTATCCCTTTTACCTCCCTCCCTCCTACCCCATCCCTCTTCAGGGACCCCTCTCATTCTTCTTCAACTGGGTGCAGTAGAACACGTACCACCACAATTCTGGGGCCAGGATTTCTACTCAACCTACTTTCTAACCCAGAAGAAGACGGGAGGGTGGTGACCCATCTTAGACCTTAGGCACCTCAACAAATACATCGCATACTCCTGGCCTAAAAGAGGGCAACATGATCAATACAACTATACAAATGTTACGGACATGTCAAATCTTCTGTTTGTATCAAATAATGCCACTGTCCTACTTTTTGTATTCAGTCAAATTGTACTCTCAGGAAAAAGCATGAACAAGCAGTCCTGACCCTCGGAATGTACACTCCTACATTCAAGGGAACTAGGTACCAGCCTTACCAACGTCCAAGAGAGTTGTTTAGACAACAATCCAAATACGATTTCCACCAGAAACAAAGAACTCAGTGCCATAGACCACAGCGGCAACAACAACAGCACGTCACACCACATCCACCATCAAGCAAACAGCAGGTTTGAAGGTCAAGTCGAGAGCCAGGAAGCCAATCCTCTGCCACTGACAACCAATACCTTTTATTTCCACCACCCCCTCCGGGCCTTTTTCCACCAATGGTCCCTCATCACTTCGGACAAATGGGTCTTGGATCTGATTCAATTTGGTTACACTATCCCTTTTACCTCCCTCCCTCCTACCCCATCCCTCTTCAGGGACCCCTCTCATTAAACCATTCTCCTACAAGAGGTTTTGCATCTTCTTCAACTGGGCACAGTAGAACATGTACCACCACAATTCCAGGGCTGAGGCTTCTACTCAACCTACTTCCTAACCCAGAAGAAGACGGGAGGGTGGCAACCCATCTTAGACCTTAGGCACCTCAACAAATACATCGCATACCATCGTTTCAAGATGGTGTCCCTATCAACGATCATTCCCGCGCTCGATCAAGGCGATTGGCTTTCGGCTCTTGACCCTTAGGATGCCTACTTCCACATTACAGTTCATCCTGCTTACAGACATTTCTTATGGTTTACGGTAGGCACCCAGCACTATCAATACAGGGTGCTCCCCTTTGGCCTCTCCATGGCCCCCAGGGTGTTTTCCAAAACCTTGACAGTCGTTATGGCATCACTTCGATGCCAAGGCATCATAATATTCCCGTATCTAGACGTATTGCCTTATAAAAGGCGCGTCCTTCAACGAGACCAAGGTC